AAAACTGATGAAACATATAAATTAGTAATGATTATCCACTGTCCAAAAAGTTCTGCCAAGACAGCCCTTTAAATCTTTCTTCTGCTTCATTTAACTGTGGTTTCTTTGATGAGCAGCCTAACACAAAACACAGGGCTCCGGTGAGCCTAGAACAGGGCCTGTGCACAGTGGCTCTTAATAGACATTTCTGTATGTGGAGTGAATGCATGAAAGGGTACCGCTTATATAAGTGGACTGTATCCCAGAGATATACCTGTGAAGTCAGCTCTTAGAACGGAGAGTGCACTTCTCCCAAGAAGTCATGCTATAAATTAAGGTTAAATCCCAGGCTAATCCAGGGCTTTATGGAACTCATGGGCATACTTGGGTTTTACCACTGATAATGCCAGTTTAGATTCTAAAGTACATGTGTATGCAGGAAGAGAGAGAAAAAAGAACACCTCTCTTCTCCTGAGGGGGCATCGTTAGCCAAGAAAAAATGTTTGGAAATGGCATTTAGCCTCTGGCATCCTCCCAAATTTACTTTCTACTTCCTAGTTCCTCTTTCCTTAGTAACCAAAATCCTTAGTTCTGTCATTTTGCTCCAATGGCGGCAAGCCATCCAAATGGACTCTACGTTCCAAAGAATTCCATGCACCAAATAAGTGACTTCTTTCTTCTCTCATTCAAAATCTCCATTTCTTCAGGGATAGTCACCTCAGTCAAGTGGAGGGGAAGCTAATCTAATTAATTCACACTAACATAGAAAAGAGTTCTATCCACCTATATGTTTTTGCCCCACCAGATGTGTTTAATTAAGAGGGATTTTAGACAGTTTAACAAGATGAAGTTTCAGCCTGTGGGAGCCGGTTAAATTTATGAATTATATACTAGCAGAGCAATGGGGCTCAGAGAATAACCATTCGAATGTACTAGCCATTTGTAAGTTGATCATTTGTGAGCTGCAAAAAGAAAGAACATAACAGGGACTTGTCCTCAAGCCAAGCAAAAGAAGGAGGGGAAGTCCACACGTTTTATTTCAAGACTTGCCCGATTTTCCCCTCGTCAGTACACTTCTTAGAACCTTCCCCCTCTCTCCTTCGGTAAAGAAGGAAATTTGATAGGCTTTTGAGGGTAAATCAACCTGAATGCAAGTTAGGAAAGGCTCCACTCTGTAAGGTGGCCCAGATGGCAGATGGCTCCTTCACAGATGGGTCCCATCTGGAGAATATCGGTACTGATTCAACAGAAATGGAGGTAGATATTAAAGCTAGAGTCCTCATCCTGGTACCTTAGAGAGCAGACCCACCCAAGACTACAGGACTTGAGGTCAGTTTGTAATGGGAATTCGCACCATCAAATATCTGAAAATTGTCATCCATTAACCTAACATAATGAAAAGTACTGTAATTTTAATTTAGATATCTTAATTCAACAGACAACACTGAGTGACTAACTTTTCTCGAGTATTATTTAATTGTATTTAGAAGCAATAACCTTAAAAATTCTAATTAATTTTAATATTATAATTTCTATTGTCAGAAATGCTTTAGCCAATATTTATTGAAAGCCTAGTATGCCCCCTGAAAAGAGAGCTTTTTTTTTTTCTTTCTGCATGATGGGGAGACTGCAAATTACAGAGAAATATTTAATGTTTACATAAAATCAATAAAAACATGTTTGTATCTACTTTGATGCTTTCAATCAAGTGGAGAGGAAGCTAATATGATTAATTCATACTAACATAGAAAAGAGTTCTATTGCCTCTATGGTTCAATTAGGAGTACGACTTTATAATCTCGCAGGCTTCGCCCTCCTAGAATTTAACAAGAACAAGTAAATGAAATTCAGTGATACATTATCCTTACACACACCAACTCTTTCATTTGGTATCTGATCCCCTATCATTAATGAAATGCATCATAAGACAGCAAAAACAGGTGGAAAAACAGATACAGTTGTTTTTAGCATAGATGAACTAATAATTACATTTAAAGGTGATCTATTCTTGAAAAAGAATTTCAAAGATGAAATCTTTGCACTACTATAAAACTGGGGTGGGGGAGGGGAGTGGTGTTTAATAGCAGATTTAGAGGATTTCCATTTAGGTGAGGAAAGAAAGATATAACCAGAAGGAATTGAAGGAATTCAGCATAAGCCTGTATGCCAGAGAAAACCATAGCCGTTGCTCAGAAAGTATTTATTGAAATCCCCTGTTCTACTATTTATGCATGAGCGGTAACCCAGCTACAACTGTAGCAATGCTGTCGCTCGGTTCCCCCAGAAGACAGCCCTTTATTGTTTCAGGCTGAGATTTAGCAGACCAGTTTCAGACCACCAGTCTTTCTCAATTCTTTATCCACAAAACCAAAAAAATTTATTCTGTTCTTTTTAAAGTTTATACACACGCATGCAAAACCAGAAGTTTACGTGTCTAGGCTGCTTTCTCATCGCTTGCATAACTAAAAAATAGGTTTTTATTTAAAAATAGAACTTGGCACATGAATGGGCCATTGGATATTTTAATAAAAATAAATGGCCAAGATACTTAACTTCAAGAAGCATCAACTACCCAGGCATGCTATTCCCTCTTCGGTTTTCTATTTTATCACCTTTGAAAAGAGCATGAATTTTCAGGAGACTCATCACATTGGGTAAATTTCAAATTGTTTTTACTGTGCAGCATAAAGAAATTTATAAGAAATTTTTAAAAATAATAGACCTTCAATTATTCCATCTATTCAAAATTAATTTTCATTGTTTCCAAAAATCTTGTTTTTGTCTATACATACTTGTACTGTCATAACTGCATTCAGTGTCTCCAGTTCTAAATTGTTTTTCACTTAACCTTCTGTTACCAATATTTCTCATGCTGTTTCAAAGTCAGCATCAGTATCGTAAATAAAAATGTTGATTTTTATGCTATTCTAATCCGGTTTTGGATTAGGATAACATTTACATTTTTAAAACCTGACATACTTCCCGTATTTTTACATGTTCCAGAAAAATGCATAAAGCATGAGAGTTAATTATTTCTTCAAGGTTTGGGAAAAAATCCAATGACTCTATCAAATCATGTGTTTTGGGAATGGAGTTTACTAAAAACCTTGACTTTTGGGGTGCCTGGGTGGCTCAGTGGGTTAAGCCTCTGCCTTCGGCTCAGGTCATGGTCTCAGGGTCCTGGGATCGAGCCCCCCATTGGGCTCTCTGCTCAGTGGGGGGCCTGCTTCCCCCTCTCTCTCTGCCTTTCTCTCTGCCTACTTGTGATCTCTCTCTCTCTCTCTTAAATAAATAAATGTTTAAAAAAAAAAAACCTTGACTTTTCCTGAATTAGTGGTGTTTACAACTTTTCTCATTATAATTTTATAATTTAATTTGTGTGGGATAATACCAATTCATTTCATCTACACATTCGCATATAGTATATTGTCAAACAACTGTACATAGTACAGTACCATTTAAAAACTATTTTTAATGACTTGTATTGATTGCTGTACTTCTTCACTACCAATGCTAATCTGGGCCAATTTCTGCTTGTTTCTTTTAGTATTGCTTTCAAAGAGTCAACTGTTTATTTTTCAGCTTTCCATTGTAACTTTTTTGTTTTTATTCTTTTTCCAATTCTCTGTACTTGAATGACTTGATTTCCTATCCTTACCTATCTCTGTAAATAAAATTCATGAAGCTCTGAATTATCTCCAAGTTCTGCTCTGGTCACATTAGCTAGATGTTAGCATGTAGTTTTAAAATTTTGTTATTAGCTAAATAGTCTTCTATTTTATCTTTTACTTCTTCCTCGACCCAATTATTATCTACAAGACTAATTTTGTATCTCAGAGCTTTTGGAGTTGTTTTCATAATGGAAGCTGGAAATGCAAACAGTAAATGAGGTTAAGTCTTTAAAACTAGATTTTCTCTGAATCCTCACAGATAATATATCTTATAACCATTTGTGGACAGAAAAGTAAGATTTCTAATTAAATAATCTGGAATGTGTATTAAACAGACCAAATTTAAATTCTTTTATAAAGCTCTACTGTTCACATATCAAGCTTCCTACAAGGACTACCTATGACATCATTTGCGTAGTGTTTAGCAAAGGGCCAGCATATTGTAACTACTCCATGAATGAGCGGTGGCCATACACGTAGTCATCACTGGCTAGTAGTAGTTATATTGCCCCTACCCCTTATGCAGGCTAAGCTGCACTACTGATCTAGGAAGAGTAACTAGCTATGTGTTCTTGGTCTAGGTTTTCTTATCTATGATATAACATAGCTGGACCAGATACTTTCTGAAGTTATTTCCAGCTCTAACATTTCTAAATTTCCTTTGTTGGCATTTTCAGGACCTGGACTCTATCCACACCAGATGTAGGTCACACATATCCTTTGTTCTGAAGCAACTTGCTCAAAACTCTCTGAAAACTGAAGTGAAGATAGAAATTTTTACCGAACTTACTATTCCATCAGAAGGTTTTGGACAGGCAGAAATTGATTCATTATTTTTGGAATAAAAGTAAAAAATTCAAAGCTATTTATCAGCCCTACTTGTGCTTTCTAGGAATAAAAGTAAAATTTCCAAAGCAATGTAAGCCAGACCTACACTTTCCCTTCACAAGAGCCTTGGCACCCAGGTTAATTTGTGTTCATTTTCCACAGCTATTAGCAATCAAAGAATTTAAGAGAAAAGATGAAATACAAAGTGTTTGCATGGCTGGCTACAAGTCACGGTGTTCCTCCTCCAAGAATGTATGTATATCATTGAGATTAAAAATGAGTATTAAGGATGAAAATTCTCATCTTTATTTTTAAGGGTGAAAATCCCCAGTAGACCATCATCTACTAACAAGCACATCTGGTAATTAAAAACAAAAGCTTTCAAATTAAATCTTATGGGCTATCTGTGAATAATCTCATACAAAAGCAATAAAAAGTATGTCTTTATACCTGTTGAAATAGACCCCTTGCTGGGATTTTAGTTCTATTTCAAATAAGGTGTTACGAAAAGCACAGACTTACCTGTACGGTAGACAAAGTTGCCTTCGGTTTCTGATGATGAAGGAGACACCAATTCTTCCTCGAATTCATTGGAACTAAAAGATCCCGAATGGTTTCTTTGCCTTGTCTTTCCCATCATGGCAGCATTTGTGGCCATGACATGCCTCAAAGAGTCGTTAAGGTAACGATTCAATAAGCTGCTCTTGTATTTGGGGGGTGATACATAGTCCTCACTGGCCCGTGACTCTGGCCTGATCACTCCAGCTTTTATGACTGAGCTCTCACTTTTAATCACAGGATGGTGAACTGGATTATTATAGCCCCCTTCATTTATGTGGTTTCTTGGAGGATTTTCTCCATCTAAGGGAGAAAAATATCAGTAGGTAGTACTTACATATACTTTTCCCCAGCCACCAAACTCTTATAGTTAATCATTAAATATATACATAAAGAAGGAATATTTAAAAGTATATAAAATTATCTTTGATACCCAAGATTAATTTTTAGGCAAGGAAGCAGGAATCTATATAATCTCTCCCTATGGTATTTTATTTTTAATGAATTTCACAGAAAATGTTATTCTGACACATGATAAATCTATAAACAAGAGGAAATAGCCATAATTCTGTTGGTCATTTATAGTATTGTAAAAGTGAAGTTACCTCACGCAGTAAAAAAGAACCATTATGGCACCATGATGTTTTTGTGGAGTCGACCTTAAAAATGGCAATTGAGGTGAACTTCTTATTAACAGAGGTAAAGCAAAATAAAAATATTAACAAACCTTCAGAACATGAATCATCGCTGCTTACACTAAGCCGCTCAGCGTTTCCTTGAACATACTTGTTGTACAATTTTATTCTTAAAGCCCAGCTTAAATCTGGCTGTCGAACAGTGTTCTTAAGCCGACGTCGTGCATTAGCAAACCAATTTGACACCTAAAAAAGTTTTATTTTTCAATTAACAAAACATAAAATATTACCCGTCACATAATTACTTTCCCACAAGAACCTAAGCCTCTCTCAGTATCTCTGATCGTTAAATATTCTAGAATGTAATAGTACTAGACGTTCATTCCATTCACTCACTCATTCATTCAACAAATATGTGCACACTTACTACAGAGACTGAGCATATACTATATTCTGGGAATAAAAAAAAAGAACAGCTTTTGCCATCAAATGCTCAGTCTAGTAAGAGAGGAAGGAGAATGTACAAATAACTTTAATATAGGAAATATTGTGATGAATGGTTTAAGGGGCATTCAAATAAAATGATGCAGGAATCCAAAGGAAGAAAGGGTTACTTTCAAGACTTCATGAGGAATTAAGTGAAGCACTGAAGGAATGTGTCCAGTATAATGGGTAGGGAAGTGTGTTCCCAATAAAGAAGACATGGGAAAAAATGTAAGTCAAACTTGAGAGACACCGTGGTGAGTGAGGAAAAGGGAAAAGTTAAAGATGACCTTGAATCATCCCTGTGTAATCAAGAGAAGGATAGTGCCATTTTGAGAAAGAAAGGAGAACTGTTTAAGGGTGAAATGATGTGCTTGGTTTGGGGAGTGATTAATTTGAGGTACTAGAAGAGCATGCAGGTGAGATGTGCAGCAAGAAAATAAAACTGTTATATGAGACTTAAGGGAGAGGAAGAGCAGATGTGGGTCAAACACACAGAGGTGACAGCGGCAGCTTTGAGTAGGTAGAAAGAGAGATGATTGAAGACCAAACCTTGGAAACCTCCAGACATCAAAGGGGCAGGACTATAAAAGAGGAGCTAGCAGAACAATCCGACATAGAGCAATCAGACAAGTAGAGGGAGAAAAATGCCAATAACAGCCGGCTTTAAGTTGAAAGTCAAGTGCTTCCAAAGCAAATAGTTGAGGGCAAAGAAACAAACACTGCAAAACAAAGGGAAGTTACTTCATTGTTTTTAAAAGATGTTATTGGATTTCCAGAAGTTAAAATGGTACTTGAGATTTCCTTTAAAATATCAGGCTATCATCAGGAAAAAAAAATATGTAAATAACCTGAGGGGTCAATATTTGCTTTTAAAAGAAATGAAATATGGAAATGAAATGAAATATGGAAAGAGAATTAGTTATATCTTTCTGCCAGTTTATTCTAGAACATGACTCCACATTACTGTAATGGTTTATGTAGCAATGCTTGCATTGGAAGTTTCTTTTTTTCTTCATTTAGGTTGATAATATAAATATACAGTTTTTACACATTGCTCAAGAGCTATTTATTGAATGGACCTATGGTGAATCCTACTTTTAAGAACACAAAACCACAATTCTTTTCCTCTTTGTCTCCATGGGTTTTTAAAACATGGTAGTTTCCCCCAATTTATACACACACACACAATGTATATATACATACAAAGAAAATATATCATATATTATACATATATATATATATATATTCAGTATTCATTATCTCCTAGTGCCTTAATAACTGTCCTCTTAATTTTATGTGCATTGATGTAGTAACTCACCATGACATTGCAGAAAACTTAGTCTTTAACAATATCCTCTTCCTATCAAGTTGTGCTATTATAACTACGATTTTAATCTGGGTTCAAATTTTAAGTCTTCTCCAGCCTCTATAGACAGACAACCTCTGGGACTATTCAGTCAATAAACCTACATTGAGTAGTTCGTGTGCTCTAGCCATGACATGATGGTCAGTGCTAAAAATCTTTAAGTGTTAGGATAAACTTTGTCCCTGCCCACAGGGAAGGATTAGCACAGAACTACGTATTAACTGTAATACACTGGTGAACATTCAGTATGGAAGCACAAAATGCCTGGTCCAGTCCTCAAACCTCCCTCTATTCTCCAAGTCATGGCCAAAGTATTCATCCATGTCCTGGATAGTAGTAGTTACTGTCCCAGTAGATACTGGGAATTTTAGAACATTTTTTTTCTGAACTTCCTTATCTTCCATTCTATGCACTTGAATGAATCTTCACCACCACCATCATCAAATTCAAGTGTTGATATACCATTATGATTTAATTGCTTAACTTCTTCAAATCCTCATTAGTGTCCTATTACCTATAACTGGTATAATAGAAAGAGATCTGGTTTCCTGTTCTAAATTTGAGAAAAATGCGTGAATTTAGAGAAGTCACTCAACTTTTCTGAACTTCAAGCCCTTCATCTATAAAATGCATTAGGTGGTACCTAAATAACCTTGCCAACTCTAAAAACTAAGATCTGTGAATATAGTCTATGCTCTCCTACAAAATTACTAATTTATTCCCTTTATATAGCTGGTGCTAACCTACCTTCTGCTTTCCAGCAATCAAACATGTGTGTTTATGTCCCCTGACATGCAACCTCTCCTATGCCTATGTCACTTATATTTTTAGAATTCAACTTCAAAACACATTTACTACTTTCTTTACTAAATATCATATAATTCAGAGTATCCTTAAATCATAACTAACCATGAATTTTAGCACAACCATCACATAGTACAGTGTAAAATTCAATTCTTATGGAACCCTTCATATTTTATTAAAATGCAATAGCTTTCAAATTTCCAAAAACATTAACATACCATAATTGTAACTACAAAGATGGGGACCATTAAGTGTCATGGTGGGATTACAGTTTTACATATATAGGGGTCATATCCTTTTTCTTGTTTTATATACTCCGTTCTTACCACAGTATATTATTACAAATTAGAAAATTTTCCAGAAAGGTTTGCTGATATCTAACATGGGCTTTCTCTGACCTGATTTCAAAAGTTTGACTGCAAACAATCTGCTAATAGATTTACTCTGCCAGTATTTTATCACCAGAAACTTTCTGTACAATTTAAGGGCTGGATGTAGTCTACAGTGTTTAATATCTGCTTGCATTAAGTCATGTAAACAGCAAAGAGTTGGTTAACAAATTTGCATAAATACTGTTATGCAATTTTTTTTTGTCCTGATGAACTAATGCAAACTCCATCTGTCTCACAGAAGGTAAAAATACCAGTTCAGATTTTCTACCTTTAACTTACTATGGATTCCTTCAGGTTGTCATGCAAATCTCACTAAATTCTACTTCACATGAAACAGGCCTCCTTACCATGGTTAGGTTCTGCAACAGCATTTTGATGTCAAACTCAGAGCTCAAGAAACACTATATTTTATAGTGAAAACCTGGAGAACCAAATATCTAGAAGCTGGAAGAGAAAACAGTAATTTTCATCCCTACTCTAGCTGAGGTGTTTACATTCATCGTATTGACAGAGCAATCATTATAGTAAACCCAAAGGGATAAGCTGGCATCTGTCCACCTTTGAACATACAGAATTAACAAACTTATTCTGAGTTACTCAACTGAAATATTGAGAATCTCATTTCTATGCCACGTAGTATAACACTTGGAATAACATAGAAAGACCAATCTGAGATTTTGTTAAATATTTAAAGGTTGCTATAATCCTTGCAGTTAATAACTACATACCTATCTCAGCAGAAGCACTCACCCAGCAAAAACAGAGCTATGTTAATAGAGGGGGTAAAATCTTAAAACTAGCAGTTTTAACCAGCAGCATATGGACATTATCACAGGAATGTGAAACTTCTACAAGTAAAGGAAGTATTAACATCCAATCATTAAAGGTAATCTCAAACTCCTCACGCATTGCGCTCTGCATTGTGATCATGAAAGAAATCACCCCAAGGAGACATTTCGCTCTTTTAATCCAGAAAAAATATAAATATGTTAAAAAATATATACATGTGAACAATGGGGATCACTGGACCAGATATAACACCCATCTGCCCTTCTCTGAAAAACTTCTTCCAAAGACAATTATTCTGCAATAAGCTCTCTATATCCTACAATAATACAAAACCTCAATTGCATACCACCCTATATTATTCCACAATAAAGCTGTTCACATTTTGATAATACCAGAGTCTATTTTTTATAATGTTTAAGCAATGATCAGCCATAGAAATTAAGCACAGTGGAATATTTTGGTTGGTTAAAGTACACACACACACACGTTATTACCTGTTAATTTTAGGAAAATGTTTATATCTCATTAGGAAACTAATAATAAATAACTCTTTCTGCTCCATTTCTCAGGGATAAATAAAATGTAGGTGTGGATTAATGTCCTTAGAACTTCTATTTATCAGAAAAATTACCTTTTGTGGTCCTAAAAATATTTCCTCCAGTAAAATTTCAGTTCCTTCCTTCTAGGTTTAATGGAGATTGCAGACCAGGTTTTATGTCTTTCCTTATCAATTTAAGAGTAACAAAACAAGGCAAAAAAGTACATTTTATGAAAAGTTTAACAGTTTGACACACGGCCAAAGGAAAATGTTAAGTGTTAAAGAAATTCTCAAAATAAAAGATACTCTCATAGCTAAGGAATAAAAGTTATGATAACTGCTTATTAACATCAGTTACAAGAAAGATAGGCGGTACTGCAATAAACAGGAAATAGGACTTTAGAACCAGAAACGAGGGCACAGACATAAAAATATGTCACATTTCCAGCTATACTGAAGGTAATAAAATGAGTTATATTCATGCTGTGCTACAGAACCATCACATAACATTAAGGATAATGAGCTGCCCTCTGCGTATTCAATGGAATGGATTTTAAAACCAGAATATCTTAATCAGATTTCAACACGTTCTCTAGTTCTCAGGACGGTGTTTTGGAAAGCTGCATGGTGATTACAATGGTATTCCCCAATCAGAACCTGTTCACTTTGCAGACATGTACAAACAGTTTATGGAAAGCATGGTGCTGGGATATGGGGGTATGAAGATGAAAAAGACATGATCACACTTCCCAAGAAGCCTGACTCCACAGGAGAAATTTATTCACTGGGAGAACTTGACTCATTAAATAGGGGTCTAATTTGCAGAGATCAAAAGTTTTATTCAGCTCCTAGTTTTATATTTTTTCCTCCAGAAGTGTAAAGTATTTACACAACTCATTTGGCTTCCTATAGAGCCAGAATTTGCTTAGATGTTTAAGGTATGTCTGACTTTCAAAAACTCTCCCATATATATCAACATAAGTGCAGCTGACTCTTGAATAACACAGGTTTAAACTGCATGGGACCACTTACGTGGATTTTTTTCACCAAATACAGTACAATACTGTAAATGTATTTCTCTTCCTTATACTTTTCTTAATAACATTTTCATTTCTGTAGCTTACTTTATTGTAAGAGTATAGCTTATAATACGTGTAATATATAAAATATGTGTTAATTGACTGTTCATATTATGGGTGAGGCTTCCAGTCAACAATAGGCTATTAGTAGTTAAGTTTTGGGAAAAGTCAAAGTTCTATGTGGATTTTTGACTTGCAGGGAGGGTTGGCACCTCTAACCCTGTGTTGTTTGAGGGTCAGCTGCAGATAGATACGTATGCATACATATATACACACACACATATACATATATATTTATATCCTACATTGATATCCTATTATGCCTAAACGACAGTAAGTGGAGCCAAATTGGATTACTATGTTTAAAGTTCCTTGGCTATCCTATACATTTTGGTTTTTTTCCATTTATCACTATAACATTCCAGAAACCAACTTCATTTACCATAAAAATTTGGAAATCATTAAGCAGGTTTCTTATTATTACAAATAATTATCTTTACTCCATTTAAAAATTAAATAATTCTGTGCATTTTTATTTTCTGAGGACTAGAGTAAGAGAAAGAAAATATAATGAGAATATAAGATATAATTAGAAAATCGTAATAGTATTACCAAGATCTTAATGCAGAAAGAATGGCTATTTGTATTTGAACTATCGTTGTAGGTACGAAATAATTTGGTTCTGTATTAAAATTACAACTACTTGTATTGCATCTCAACAAAACTACTGTACCCCAAAATTTAAGTATCTCTGCTAATAACGATGTTACCTTTCATAATTAAAAAATGTTCTAAATATGTCATTTTTGTTTGCTTTCTGTATGAAAGAATGGCAAGCATTAAGTATGCAACTGTATGATATACCAAAATTAATCTAATGTTTTATTGCTGACATCACAGTGAAACACTCAAATAGCTCTATAAACTAGGGTATTTTCAAAATAAATAGCATACCTGTTTAAACTGAAATATGAACATATGCATTTATTTTCACAAGTCAAGTTTTTCTGACTGATATCACTGAAAATTCATAGTTTTATGTTAAACAGATATTAAGCCAAGAACACTAAATAAATTTTCCCCTCCAGTGCTGCAGCAAATCACTATTAATACTATTGCCTGTTAACATGAAGCAAAACAGATGTTTTTCTCTACAATTGTTTCTGAATATAAGCAGACAAATGCATATTATAGTTTTAATAAGCTTAAATACAAGTCAACTTTCATGCTTTGTCAAACTTTCCAGCAATTCCTAAAATGTCAACCTTAAATACTCTGGAAAGCAAGTTTTATTTTATCTAGTAGTTAAATATTATCTTTTATTTGGGGCCTCCCTCGCTATAAATTTAATGGAATGACCAAAACTTCACAAATGTAGTAATGTTGTGCTACTATAATATATGAAACTTCTCAGCTTATTTAGCTCCTCCTCCTCTTTCTGAATAAATTTGTTTGCACATATAAAAGCTCATGTCACCAAATTTATTAAAGTCTGTGGTGTGTTGGAAAGAGCGTTTGATCTGGAATTACATTATTTCCAGGCCTATCTCTACAGCCCTAATACTTAACTGCCACAGTGCCTTGGTCACATCATCTAGAAAATGCTCACTGCTGCTCTGCCTCACCACGTTTTTGTGAATACCAAATAAGACTGCGTAAGGAAAAAGCCAGTCAGATATAAAGGAAACGACCTTGCACCCTGTCTCTGCACCTAACAAAATAAACTAACCACTTGAACCTGGCCTCTTCTTAGACCCAGTAGAAAGGTATCAGCCGCAAAATTGTGTGGATTCCAGCTAATGCTCAGGATGCCTCTTCCTTAAAAATAAAAATAAAATCAAAACCCACTTGTCCTTCCACCCTATGTCCTAACTCTCTCAGTAAATGTAATTTTTAAGTTACCCTATACTTGATCTCTCATATGGGTGCCCAATGTAGAGTGCCTTTCTGCATGGTTCTCGAAGTTTCAGCCAGGGCCAGCAGCTGTAGGACCATCCCGGAGAACTTGTCAGAAATGCAGATTATTGACCCCACCCAAACCTCCCACCGAATCGGGATTCGGGCGCGGGGCCCAGCTGTGTGAGTTCGAACCCGTCCTCCAGGTGATTCTGATGCCCACTCAAGGCTGAGGATCAGCGCGGGGCGTCCCATCTGTACCCACCAATACAGACTCCCAAGACACCTTTTCATGACTCGAAGTTGACTTTCACTGGGCTCCGTAACAAAACACCACGCAATCCCTCCTGAGCCGAGAGCCCCGAATCCATAGACAAGACTGAGAGGAAACCCAGAAACGTCCTACAACCCCTCACATCCTCTGAGGCAGCGGCCGGAGCTCTGGGATCTGCCTCGAAGGGCCCCAGCCCTGCCCAGCGGGAGGCGCCGGGCGCAGATCCGCGCGCGCACCACGCGGGCCGGCTCCTCCCTCCGCCGCGGTTACCTGCACCAGCGTCATCTGCGAGCCGAGCGCCAGGAGGATCTTCTCGGTCTTGGTGGGGTACGGGTTGTCACGGTGCTTGTAAAGCCACTGCTTGAGGGGCCGCGCCATGTCTTGCAGAGCCTGCCGCTTGTGCCTCACCTTCCCGCCGTTCTGCCGGGCCCTGGACACCGGGAGAGGAGGAGACCCCGGTGAGCTGCGCGGCCGGGCCGCCGCCCCCGGGACCCCCTGCGACTGGGGACCTTTGCGCCCGCAGCCCCGCGCCCCCGCCCCCCCCCCCCCCCCCCCCACGGGGAAGGGCCGCCGCGCCCGCGTCCGGCTGCTCAGGACTTCCGGCTCGGACGCACTAGCCCGCCCCACGCCTCCAGGCTGAGGTGAGGCAAGGGTCCGGGCCACACGAGTTCTGAGCGCGAATATCCTTCCCGGGCATTTCTCTTTGAAATGGCCCGGTTGTCGCAGGGGGTCATGTGGCAGTAGCCAGGGGTTAGGGGTTTAAGCGACGACGGTGAAGTGATCTGAGGGGAAATGCGATTCAGGGTATATAGTTCGGCGCAGCAGGGCTGCCGTCCTCTCCACGCCCGCCCGCACCCGCGCCCTTGAGCGGCTCTGGCTTCCTGGGCAGGGTCAGGCTGCCGCCAGCTCTCGAACGTTCTTTTAGGGAACTCGTGCGTGCCGCTTGGGGTTTTCCTTCGCCCGTGGTCAGAGGAAAGGTCGCCCACCGGACGGCGGGCATAAAGCGAGGGATGATGGCCGTTCAGCCGCCCTGCTTCTTTCTCTTGGAGCTCTTTCCTTTCATCCTCTGGAAAAAGGGGAACTTTCCAAGAAAGTGTTTATGGAGTAAGGACGCAGAACCTTAAAAGAAAAAACCCACTCTAGGGGTCTTTTCCCGACCGAAGGAGAGTTTTTAAAGTGTGGAAAACTCCGTCGGTGAGGAGAAGCACCCTCAAAGGGGGAAGGGGTCCAAGTAGCCTGGAGCCGGACGCTACGCGCTGCGCTCCCGGGCGGCTCCGGGAGGTGTCGCCGCGCGGCCGCCCGCGCGCCCCGCCACTCGGGGAGGCTCGCGCGCCTGCGCCGCAGCCTCCAGGACTTTTGCCTCTTTAAACACTTTGAAATGCAACTCCATCCGAAAGGACTGGTAGTAACATTTTGACGAAACCTAATCTCTATTTTACTAACCAACAACGCCGCAGAACAAGCAGCTGATGCAATCGCTCAGGTGGAGACGGCCAAGGACGGCCGCCCCTCCCCCCGCGGGGCGCTCAGGGAGCCGCCGCGACGCCTCTGCAGCCAGAGCTGCTGGCCCACCCGCGCGTTCTCGCTCCCCAGCAGCCCCTCACCCGGCTAAACCGAAACCCGGCCCGGGAGACCCGCGGCCTCCCCCTCCGGGCTCGCAGCGGGCCCAGCCGAGCCGCGCGCGCGCGTCCAGGGCGCCCTGCGAAGAACCGACCTTGCCAACACCTTGGCGCGGGAGGTTCGAGGCCATGGCGAGGCCCTGTCGTCACATAAGAGGGGAAGCCCACGGGGCTGGCCTGACCTGGCAAGCCCGGACTGCTTGCCCTGTCCCGTTCCTAGGCATCTCGCTCAGTCCTTTCGGCCGCGCATCTGCACCCGTGCTCCGGGGAGGGGCAGGTAGCCCCCTGTCCTGAGGTCCAACTATCAGGGGACTGAGGGGCCGTTCCAGGCGTCCTCAGTTTCCAGCAAGCCTCTTTTGAGCTGTCCTGATGAGCCGATTCCCCTATATTTTGAGAAACTAATGCCTTAAAAGGACAATGCGCGAGACCAGGGGCGGAGACCTGCCCTCCCGGGAACTCTGGGCCCCTAACCCACGGGCCCGGGGTGCCACTTGCACGCCTGCGCCGCACCGCTCCCACCCCTCCGGGCTGCAGGCGGGCGGGGGTCCCGGGAAGGTGAGCGTACCCTGTTCTCCGGTGTCTCAGGCCGAGATTGTCCTTGAGGGGCGGGCCGTCCGGAATGCCCACCTCAGGGCGGGCGTGGGGACTGTCCAGGACGCCACCATAGGGCCGGCTGCCCCGTTCCCGTTCCGGAGCGCCGCGGTCCTCAAAAAGCACGGCGCCGCTGAGCTTGTTGAAGACGATGGTGTTCATGGTGCCGGCTGGCTGGGGCTCGCCGCGCGGCCGCAGCGCCTCGAGGCCTGGCCGCCGGGAGCTCCGCAGGGCTCGGGTTCTAGGAGAAAATGATGCATTACGTTACTCGCTCAACGCTCACATCTCCATAGGTCCTGAGCCCCGGACTTGGCCAAGGCTCTGGGCTGGGGAGCCGAGGGGAGCAGCGACACCAACGCACCTGGACACTGGAACCCTTGCCTCTCCCCACCTGATTACAACCCCCCCCCCCCCGCCCCCGTCCCCGTCCCCGCACGCTCCCGGGACAGGTCCCTACACTCCTCCTTGCCCTGGCGATCCAGTTCCCAAGGAACCTCAACCAAGAATAATTTACCTGTGTGGGCAAAGGAAAGTAATTCCTAAACGAGTTCTTTTCTTGGTTTAAATCTGGAAGTACTGCACTCGGGTTAGCGGAGCGGGATAGGCGCGGAGGGCGTGGGGGGGGGGAGGGATTCTTCAGTCACAACGGATGTCTAAGCACCTCCGAGCTCCCACTCGGGTTTTAAGGAGGGGTGGGAAGGACGGGAAATGTGGGGGCAATATGAACAACTGCATCTGCAAGTCCCGTTAATGAGTCCCAGGCCACACCGGGATTCCTGGGATTTTCATATTTTCTAGATTCTGGATGGTTTGGCTGAAACCCCGTGCGTTCTAACTCCGGTTAAGGTCCCTGGGTGAGGGCAGGGAAAGTTAGCTGACTCCGGAGCTAGAAAGTTAGGTGGCGTCAGGGACAAACGCACATTGTCTCCCTCCCCCGGAGTCTTCTACCATCCCCCAGCCCGCTCCAGGATGCGCTGGGTCCGGGCAGGTCAAAGGAGCCGGAGTCCCGGGCCTCCCGGGGCCCAATGTTAGTGCTGTCCTCTTCCAAAACGCGGGTGTGAGCCTTAGCTCGGAGCCCTTTCTCACCCGCCCCTTTCTGGGGTGTCGGGGAACCATTTGAGGTTGCATAGGTGTTAGAAGCGGAAGGAGGCATCACGGTCCGCGCACCACCGAGCCTGCGGCTGCCATCCTTTTACAAAGCTTTTCAGCTCACCTCCCGGGTCGCGGCGGCCGGGAGCCTCAGGCCGCAGAGCGTGGGCCTCAGGTTCAAGTCCGCACCGCCGCCGAGCAGTCGAGTTACCGCCCCCCATCACCCCGCCTCGCGCCTCGGGGTAGCTCCAGTTTCTTCCCCGCCGCCTCCGCCCTGCTGCCAGAGCCCCCTCACCCCGCCCCGCCCCGGCGCAGGCTGCCACACTAACACGTACAGATCTTCTGCCTCGAAGAGCGCCCACACTTGCCAACGCCCCCTGCCCCGCCCTCCAGCCACCGCAGCAGCTGCCACGCGCGACATTTAGGGCCGTGACCATAGCGATTAAGCGACAGGTACCGTCAGTATTCGTGGGGAGGCGAAGTCAGACTTCTGCAGGCTGCCCCGTGTGCCGTAAGGCTGAGTCCTCCCACGGAGACAGGTACGTGTCTGTAGTGTGCACACAGCCTCGGCGAAAAGTGTCAAAGCAAATTTCTGTGCTCGAAGCCCCTGTTCTAAGGTCAGGACTATCCTTGGTTCTTCTTCTTCTTCTTCTTCTTCTTCTTTTTTTAAATCAGTGCGCTTAGTGCTTTGCGTTCATGCTGCATTATTTGTAAAACACACCCTTTTTCAGTCCCACAGTGTTTCCCCACCCCAGTCTGGTCCTCCCATATTCAACGGCGAGTTTTTCTTAGCGACTCCGCTGAAAGGTGCCTTCCCGGTTGTCCCAAGCCCACACAGAGACCGCAACCACAGACACCCGGCGCGATCTGGGTCTGCAGGCATGCCGCAGGGGAGGTGGAAGAGGGCTGCAAAGGTCCGAAAGCTGAGTCCTGACCGGAAGGGGTGGTGGGGGGGGTGCGTGTGAAGCGCGGTTCCTGGCCTTCATCCGGGGCCCAGGCGCACTCCCCAGCGCTTCTTCTCTGCTCCTGTACTTCCCACTTACCCTTATCCTGTCTCGCTCCAAACTGTCGCTTGGGGAGCTCCCTCCCTGCGGAACTACCCCGCCCAACGCCCGCGAACAATTTTAAAGCCAAGGAAGAGCAGCCAGGTGGGCTCCCAGGCTCCTCGCAGACCCTCGGGCCAGCCTCGGCCATCACCGGGGCGCGTGCCCTCTGGACCTTGGAGGGGGGTGGGGGAAGGGCGGGGAGAGCGCCGAGGGCAGAGGGAACCAGCCGCTCGGGGAGCCAGAGCCAAGTCTTGCATCCCGAGGCCCGGGGCAGGGACGCCGAGACCCGAGGGCTGTACCTGTGGTGGTGGGGCCGGCGGCCGGTGGCAGGGCGGCTGGCTCTCCCGCGTTGAGGCTAGGCGCACTCCCATTCCCGCCGCATGTTTTCGGCGCGGGCTCCAGCGCGCTCACCGCAGCCACAGCCGTCGTCTCGGCTTTATTTACCCAGACGGGCGCGCGCGGCCCGGGAACAGGAATACCGAGGCCTTCTCATGTTTCTTGACTGCCCGGCCCAGCCGGCGAACATCCTGCGGGCGCGGTATCCACGTTCCCGGGCCGGCGAGAGGAAGCCTCAGCACCCTCCCGGCCGCGGGGACTTCTGTTAACCCTCGCAGACGAGCCGCCGCTGCTAGCGCCGCCGGGGAGCCCCCGGCCAGCCCCCGGCCCACCGGGTCCTCCCCAGCGGGGCCCGGCCCTCAGATCCGCCGGCCTCGCAGGCGCAGAGCAAAAGGGGTTATTTCCTTCGCACTTAGGGGAGAAATCCGAGAAGCCGCAAGTAGCGCCCGGCTCCGGCTCTGGGAGCTGAGAAGCTGCGGTGCAAATCCCGCGTCTTAGCTGGCCCGAGAGCCGGAAATTCAACCATGCGTGGCTAGGCACGAGAGAGCATTGCGACGCTCCCTTTATTTTCCTCGCGATTAGAGGGAGTGAAGTTAGAGCTCGGGTTTGTGCCTATAACGCGCGAGCACATTACAAGAGATGCTTGCATCCCGGGAGCTTCTTTTCTGGTGTCCCCGGGCTTCTGAGGTCTCGGCTGTCTCAAATCCAGGGACACGCCGAGGCCAGCGCTGGAGAGGCTGCGCTCGCCGCGGGTCATAAGGGTGGTGGGAGGCAAGGCTGGGGCGAGGCGAGCCCAGGTGCCCAACCCACTGTGACCCAGGTAGGGAAGAGAAGGGGAGCCCTGGGCCAGGAAGCTGCATGGATTAAGGAGGATGGGACTTGGAAGAATCCTGAGCTGGGACACAGTGCAAAGAGAGAGAATGCCTCTCAGATTCTCTTACTGATGATCGTTCCCTTTCCACCGTCACCCCAAAGAGGAGAGTAGCAAAAGCTGTGATTTGGGTGCAAGTGGAAGCTCAGTGCTCCTGGCAGCCGTGGAGATCCTCAAGGAGCTGAGCACCAAGCCGCCCGCGTTCTTGCCGTGGGCCTTGTCGCCACAGCGACACCTTCATCTTTTTATAAGAGCGAAAGTAGATTTTCCCAAACCTGAAAGTTATGGCATTATTTGTTCTTTTCTCCTTCAAGGTGGAAGGCGGGGGCCCACCTAAGCATCTTCCTTTTATGTGGCCTGGAAGTGGTTAAATATTTACATATATTAAAGCTATTATTTCCAAGACTAATCACACCTTCGAATTTTTCCATTATGTTATCTCCCAAAATGCGCGACGGTAAACCGGGCAGTGGCACAATCTAAAACAGAAAAGGGTGAAGGTTTAAGTTTTTGCGCATTAGGCAGACAAATATCATTTGAACACATTTCCCAATGTCCTTGTTTTCCTTTATGGTATAATTTGCGGTTGGAGCGTTCTCATTTTGTCATTGGCGCTGCACTTGACTTGCTTTAGTGTGAATTCAACATACACATCGGTCTACAGTCCTCGCTGTGGGATTTAAAGTCAGGGATACATCATAAAGTCTGAGCCTCAGACTTGCAGCCACTAAGTTTCACAACAACTGATAATTGATAATTCAGGGGAAGAAAGGCGGATGGTCTCTATAACTGATGGTAGTCACCAGACATTATAATGAAATCAGCTGTAAAACGCCCCTCTGACATATATTTTGATCAGCTGTGCTGGATAAAACCTACAGGCATGTAAGTAGTTGCTTGCAATTTCCTAGTACAATACTGACTCATGGAGCAGTATGCTATAATAGAAGCTAGTCTAGGACTGCATTTACACAATTTTAAAGAGCATTTTAAATTTTAAAAGCTTACCTGCATTTACACAATTTTAAAGAGCATTTGGGGATCTCTGACTTAAGATATATTTACATGTAAGATTTGTTTTCTTGAAATCTGATATAAAATACACAGCAAAATTTCTGTAAAACTTTTTAAAAATTTGATATAGGAATAATAAACAGATTAGTTTTAAGTCACTGAAAAAGTAATGCAGAATTACTTTATAGTTTATTAAAATCCATTTTAAAATGAAAAAAAAAACAGTGAAGGGTTAATTTTAAAATGAAGTAGTATGGAGAATCCCTATGTAATATACAAATGGGCATGTATTTTGTGATAGACCAAAATTTTATTTTTCCAAGTTTCATCCTCTCTGCAAGAGTGGAGTTTCTTCTTTATTTTAATCCACAGTTCAGACAGTTATCATTATCTTAAATTTCACCTTTTCTGAAGATAAATTTTACTGAGCTTCTAATGTTATATTCTAATCTCAGTGTGTGAAATGCTGTATTATAATCCTCAGAAATAAACCTTGAAGTTTTAGAAAACTTATCAGAAGATTTAATAGAGTGTGTAGTTTGTGGGATATAGCCATATGCAGGGAAAAGAAAAAATAGCTATAGGCCAGAAGTCAGAAAATTTGAGTCCTAATCTGAATTCTGGTTTATTTGATCTTGGTTTAGCCTGAATTTACTCAACTATCAAATGAAGATATTAAGTTTTCCACAAATTTGCCATATGCTATTATTAAGATTTTTTTTTTAATGTGAAAGTAACGTGTTGCTGTTGCTAAAGCTAGAAAAATATTAAGTAAGAACATTTGGCAGAAATCTTAATTCATTCTATTAGACCTGGAGTGTAGTTATAAATATAAGTAATTTTTACTTCCTAATTTTAAAAAAAGCCTTCATTTTAAGCATTTTGATATTTTACCAGGGAGCCTGACATTTCAGAACTAATATTGGTTAAAGTTTTTGAAAATAAGGGTTGCTTTTAAACTCTTTTCTAGTTATTACTTATAGGCAATGAAATAAATTATAAAGCCAGGGAATGACTGTCACTTTCCGTCCAAATGTTATAAAATAGTAAATTTATGAACAAATAGAAGGTTCACCTCACACTTGGCCAGTGTGACTTGTAGAGATACATGTTGAAATGCGTAAGTGGAACAACTGGACAAGTAGTGAAAGTCACAGCTGCAGAGACATTGTGGGCAAACCAGGAGAACCGGGGGGCCTCCCAATTTCTCACAAAACACTTGTGCTTTGATTGTAATTTAGCTTTAATTGCATGAATAATGCAGGAGAAATCCTCTCAGAGAGGGTCTTCTCCATAAATTCACTCATAATCAAAGGACAGAGTCTAAGTGAAAGTTCCTCTTCTGCCATCTTCACTCAATCACTTTCCTGGGAGGCAACCACCAAGAAGTGGCCACTGCTGGTTTGATGTGTAGACTTTGACTCTTGTTTCAGTGCGTTCACATAAGCGAATGCAAACAATACATTATAGTTTTGTTTTATGACCTTCTGAAATAGATGAGACCATACCTTGTACCCTTATATAGATGTACACACTCACAGACAGCCAGAATTAAACTAAAGCTTGCTTTGTCATTCAATTTCATAGAGAACTTTCATATTAGGACATACAGATGTAATACCATATTTTTAACTGTTACATAATGCTCCAATAATCCATTTAGTCATTCCCTATCCTCCTTACCGCCTTTTCAGTTTTCACTATTATAAACATTAAACACCTTGTTTAGGATTATTTCTGCACATGTGTAAACATTTTTTCCAGGAATAGCTACACAGACGTAGAATTGCTGGGTTGGAGACGTGATTTTAAAATTTTGATGGATATTTCCAAATTTCCTTCCAACCTGTACCCCCATTCGCTGACATGCTACACTGCATTTCTTATGTTTGGATTTCATAATGTTTGCCAGTCCGATGAGTAAAATAATGTCTTATTTTCATTTGTTTCACTTGTTTTCCTTTGTTTATGAGCCATTTGTATTTCTTAATTGAAGAAACATATCTTTATCAGATGCCTTGTTAATTTTATAAGGTCCTTTATAAATCATTTTTCCATTATATATATGCTTTATATATTGCAAATATGTTACCTGGTCTGATGTCTGCCTTCAGCCTATTTTGTTTTTGTCTTACAGAAGGTTTAAACTTAAATATAGGTCAATAGGTCTGCATTTTCCTTTATGAATTCTTGGTTTTGTGTCTTCCTTACAAAGGCTTTTTATAAAAAAAATTTTCTTACAATTCTTTTAAAAAATTGTTTTTACTTGGCTCTTTAGTCCTCCTGGAATTAACCTGTATATCTTGTGAGGTAGAAATGTAATTTGATTTTTTTCTTCTTCTTCAATTGAATAGCCAGTTATTCCTATGGTGTCTAATAAGGAGTTTTCTCCCCCATTGATTTGAAATTACTTTTCTCGTACACATGGCGAATTCCTTTCCATGTGTAGGTTGGTCTAAGAAGGCTTTAAGAGATGTTGCAAAACACCCAATAGACTGTAATAAATTTAATCTTCAAAATTTTAAAACCATCTTGCGCGCCAAAGACTTCCAATATTATTCTGTTTCTAATTTCAGAGCATGTCAAGTATCAAAATAGTAATATGTATGGCCTGGTTATGGTTCTAATTTAGAAGGCTAATTCAGTACTGTTCTAGGACAAAGTTGCCGTTTATTTTGTCGCCGTACTGCTCGAAGCAGGAGAGCAGTTTCAGGCAGCCATATTCTCCAGAGTGCAGTACAGGCTGCACAGAGTTTTGCAAACACATCACATAACCAAGTGGTAACTGGCCACGAGCAATGTAAGGTTATTTGTCAAAGTGATGAGTCCCTGCCACCCATGATTTGAAAAGTAAAATGCATCGTCTTTTTCTTGCTCAATTCTTTATGGAATGTGAATTACTTTTTTTCATAAAGCAACCAGTCAAGATGAGAACCTTCGATCTGATTGCATATTAGTCAATTTCACTCTGGACAAAAATGCAAATATTTTGTTGCCACTATTTCCTCAAAACATTAGCTACATAAAAGTACAGAACTTCAAATCATAAACAGTCAGTAGAGCTGAGATGGGGGGGGTTAATGTTTTTTTCTATTTCACAGAGCTGGACACAGGACCTGAAGTAACCTTGGGACACTAGTATGTCATCTTTTTGCTTGATTCCAAAATATCTCCAGTAGCCACCAATGATCCTGGAGTCTCTACTCCATTACACACATGAAAATATACTATGTACTGGGGTCCAGAGGGGAATCTGGAGAACATTTTGACCTCAAGTGGTACGTTAAAATATAAGAATTTCTCCCAGGAGACTATTCTATCTTGAAAATCAATTTGCTTGCACATCAAAACATGACCATTTGAATTAATACAGTGAAGA